ACCAAAGCCTTTCCTATTGGCTGTGTTTGTGTGACGCACCCACACTTTTCTTAATTATGGAATATTCAGTCTTCTAAACTTACATGATACAAGGAACCATAAACTAATCTCATAGACTGGGTTCATACATGCTGGAGTAAAATTTGGTTAATCTGTTCCAGCGTACTATGCAAACCAAGAAATGGTTGCAATCCAGAATCTGAAACACATTCACATAAGAGGCTTATCTGGCTCCCTATCTTTTATATTGTTTGTTAAAAGCAAACTAAGCCACTCAGTCATCAGTCTTTTGTCCTTACCCATAATTAACCATAAGCCATTGTTAAAGCTGGTTTACTCATTGCACTAATTCATTATGTGTCTTGTTTCAAAAAGCTATGCAAATTTAGACAACCATTGTTAAATAAACCAAGCTTAGCACAATGTATAAACTCACTGTAAGCTTGCTCTTAAGCGTGTAATGGGAACCTCGCAGTAAAATGGTTTCCTTAATAATCCAGGCGACCATTGGATAGCAGCAAAGTGATATCTCTTTGCGTGTTCTGTTGTTGTTTGGAGCCCAGACCTCGTAGCCCTCTCTCAGTCCAATCTGTCAGAGTACATTGCCTGCTAGAAGTTTTGAAAGTAAAATGAAGGCAATAAACAAATATCCCAAACACTTTTGCTGCGTCCCTGTTATTCCATACTTTATTTCTATTCTTCCCTTTTTCGGAGCAAACACATCTAGCCGGTATTCCGAGCAACATCCTCATTCTGCTAGTAAACTCCCCTTCTCCACAGTGCTTTTCAAAGGAACCCGGAAGAGCTTAACTTTCTTATATTCATCCTTTCCCTACAATCTTCCGGTCTTTAACCCAAATGTCACTCGAAGTCTCTACCATCCGTTGATTGGCTGTCGTATCAGAAGGGCGAGATCTATGAGCAGGCGCAGTGGGTAGTTTCCGGGTCTGAGGAGGTAGTGAAACTTTTGAGGTGTCTCTTTGTTTTCCAGTTTTTTGGGCTGTATTTCCCTGGTTAGCTGCTAAGATGAATCGCTTATTCGGCAAATCGAAGCCTAAGGCGCCACCTCCGAATCTGACGGACTGTATTGGCACGGTGGGTATCCGCACAGGGAGAGAGCGAGGGCTGGAAGACCGTCACCGCCGGCTTCTCTAGCTAAGAAAATCGTCGTCCGCATCTAGTCGGAAGGCTGAATCTCTTTGTACGAAACTTTCAATGGAGCAGTCTTTTGGCAGCTTTGCTGTGTTGTTCTACATAATCTAAGGCTGAATGAGAAGACGTGGTCGCTAACAGGGCAGCAGATGCCTTCCACTCGTGTGCTGCTCTCTCGGGGGCAATATTTGCTGGTCGTTAGCCCATCAAATAAGTGTTTCTAATGTAGTTTGAGCACTGACTTGAGTATGTCCCATTCGTTCATACTTTAAACTTGTATTGTAGCCATGATATTCTAAACCACAGTTTCATGAACCCTTGGCCGTGACTTGAAGTGTTCGGATGTAGTCAGTCATTTGATTCATGCCTTCCGAGCCATGGTTTGCTTAACTGTGGTTTGTTGCATAAATTGTAGTTGGCTGAATTCTCAGAATATGCTGTGTTTTGCATGGTGTGGTGGCTGGGGTTTATATAAAACCAAAGAACCCCTGTTTAGGCTGCTAATCATTTTTACCACTTTCCTTTTGTATCAAAGACTGTAATGCAGCAATTCAGAAGCCAGAATCCAAAGAATTATGTGATTAATTCTGCCTATTTATAATGGTTGGAGGTTTGTGCTTTTTAAATAACAACCCTGATTCTACCTGGCAAGCTAGTTCAAAACTAAGGGGATTTTTTAAAAAATGGATGGGGTGGAGACAATAAATATATGGCCATGCCTTTGATGAGTTCTTGGATTCCAGCCAACATAACTTAGGATGTATTATGGAAGAAAATCTCAGGATAAAAATGATCTTTTTTAGTATTTAGAAGTGAAGATAGGGGCACATAGAGGAACTGAACACAATAAAAATCTCAAGAGTGTCAGATCCAGTTGTTATTTTCCTCTTATGTGTACCCAAGACTTACTTAAGCAGCATAACTGGGGATTAAATGTTTTAATTAGAATTTTGGTTACAAATTAAAGTTTATACATGTTTATGTACCAATTATATAACAGTTATTCTTCTTTGACTAGAGATAGTAAAAAAAATTTTTTACTAGAGATAGTAAAAAAAAAAAAATCCTTGTTTCTCCCCTCACCCTTACAAATAAGTGCTTTTGATATAGAAACCATTTTTCTTATTACTTTTTCTTTATATAGGCAGCTAGAGCTCCCCCAGGTTACTTTTTTAAAAAAGTTAGCCCCTCAAGAGGCCTCTAGTTTTTTATTTCTTTGGCGATTCCTTTTCTGAATAGCTATTCTTGATAAAACTGATAATTTGCTAAAGATTGTGTATTTAGTATTTGGGTAAATACTGTAGCATATTTTCTCTTTTTACTTTGACTGGTAATGTCTTTGCTGCCAGTTAATAAGATCTTTATTCATTATTCCTTACTAAAGGTGGATAGCAGAGCAGAATCGATTGATAAGAAAATTTCTAGACTTGATGCAGAACTGGTGAAATATAAAGATCAAATGAAGAAAATGAGGGAGGGGCCTGCAAAGGTAAGGTGTATACAGTTTTATGGTGAAGTGATTTATGTCTGGTCACATGATGACTAAGTCTCCTGGTTTTTAGGAGGATTCCTAAATGTCAGTATCAGATCTGTACCAGAGTTCAGAAGAAAACAAATGAATAAGGCTATATAATGATGGGAGAAGTAGGGTTGTGCAAGGCTTGAAATCAGTGACCAAAAGGAGTTGCTGAGTGCCAGCACCTGTCTGTTACTTTTTAAAACATCTACACACCTTGCCATATTAGTTTTGCCCAGCAAATGCTATTATTATTGATGCAGCTAAAGAAGTCCTGCTTGTATTATATGATTTTGAATCTAGAGTGGGTATCATGTATATGCTGCATATCTTGTGTTCAGATCCTAGCAGAGCCATAGACACTAAGTCCTAATGAGGTTGGTCTGGTTTTACCTTAGCAAATTACTAGAACCTAGTTATTGAATTGTGTAAACTGTAGTTTATAACTTAGTATAAAATGTCATTTTGGACTAGTTAATAACTCTTAGTTTAGTGGAACTTGGCCTAACTCTTGCCTTTGTTTCTCAGGACTTATTTTATGGTAAATGTGAAATGTATGATACAATATTCTTAACATCAGGTCTTAATGTACAGATGCAATGTGAATTTTAACTCTAAGAGGCATGTAAGCATAGTGAGCAAAGTCTTTGACTTCAGCATGGGAGATCAGGTTCAAAATCCTTACTTATTTGGTTTTGGACCAGGTACACGCTCTGACTGGGTTCATACATCATGTTAAGTTTGTTTTAACAACTGAATGAGGCACAATTCATACATAAAGTGAAGCTTTAGAGCAAGGTTTGCAACTGACAATGGCTGGGTCCACAGAATATGATAGGCCAAAGCCATTCAGATTATATTGTGGCTTAATATGTGTGGATCCATGTTCACTATATTTCCAAATACTTAAGCCATAGCTTTGCTTCTAAACCAAAGTGGCTAACTTCATGGAACTCATTAAGTCACAAATTGCAATAAGCAAAACGCATATTGAGCAAAGTGTATTGCATGTATGTAGTGCATTTTTATTGCATCTAGTGTCTTCTTCAGAAAGTATTTTATCAGGATAAAGAGGTAATAGAAGAGGAAATGAACTCTATGAGGAAAAATTAAATAAACAATTTAGGGTTAAATAAAGGTTGCTTGCTTAATTGGTTGATGACTGCTAATCTTATCAAAGAGCATCTTATTGGTGTTTACTGGTCCTAGGCATTATAGCAAGAATCTTGTATATAATACATTAAATGTTTCTATTCAGCTATTAATCCTTATTGGGTTTAACATCTGCTTTTACCTTTTCTTTAGAACATGGTAAAGCAGAAAGCCCTGAGAGTGTTAAAACAGAAGCGAATGTAAGTTTCATACTCTCTTAACCTTTGTGTTCAAATGAGTGCCAAATCTGAAGGGATGGGAAGATGAGTCCTCAATGTTATGTTTTTAACTACGCTGCTACTCAGCCATTCTTTTGTAGTGAACTTGGAAATAAGATGGGTCTTGTCACTCATTTTGCATTGCATATTGCATCTTGGGTGCCTCTAATCCTAATTTCCCAACTGCAGTCCATTTCATTGTTTTATGGCAGAGAAAGAAGAAGAAAGTGAGGTTATTAGGATGGAAAGAGAAGGAACTTACTTTCTAGAACAGATTGGAAGGAATAGGATAGTATAGTTCTTTATTACGTTGGAGGAGGAGAGCCTATGGTGGCAAAAAGTCAAGAATCTAGTAGCACTTTTTCTGATTGTTAGTGGGAAAAGGCGCTACCAAATTCTTGATTCTTTATTGCAGTCAATGACCAGAATTCTTTCTGCAGGTTAACTAAATAAATGAAATAAAACACAAACATAAAATGATAGCTACACCATTTAGGCAATCAGGTCATGACAAATTTTACAGACAGTAACGTAAATTAAGTCAGAATTGTCTAGGTACTTCATCAAATTGGGAGTTATAAAACATGCATCCTTATAGAAGGCATAATGTAACGAGGGCATTAACATTTAATCTTGTAAACCACCCAGAATCACTTGTGTGCAATTTGGCAGCTATTTGGTGTAGTGGTTAAGGAGCTCACCTAGAAAGCAGGAGATTGTAAGTTCTTTCCCATGAAAGCTGGCTGGGTGACTTTGGTCCAGTCACTCTCTCTCAGCCCAACCAACCCACCTCACATTTATTTATATACTGTATATAAATAAATGGCAGGATAAGAATCTAATAATAAAATAAAAATAAATATGCTAATGTTAGCGCTCTTATTTTTTATCACATCTAAATTTTCCCTGCTGTGTAATATGTTGCCAGGAAAGTTCTTCTTTTCTAATGTGTCAAATTTGTTCTTGCAGCTGTCAGAATATATCTTAGTAAATTGTGATATTTTTCATTTATGTTTACTGGAATCTATATACTACTAAAACTCTCGTGTCTGTAACCTTCAGCTGGGCAAAAAGGTGTGTCATAGGGCAACAATTTTTGAACCAAAGTGCCTCAAATGGGCTAACTTATAATGTGTCCAAAATCCAGGACCCATTACTCCCATAGGATTGAAATTTGGGAAATTTGTGGCCACTTCTGCACTGCTGCGCCACTGCGGTCAGCCCAGGTCATGTGATCATCATGTGCGTATCTCCAACCTCTTTCCCACCTCCCTCTGTCCCCTACGTCCAGTCAGCTGTCGGCAAGTCCTGATGGGCAAGTAGTGATTGGCTGCTTTGGAAATAAGGCAGAAATTTGAAATCTCTTAACAGCCATGGGCACTGAGGGAACAATGAGGGAACGACTTGGATGCCTGCTGGTGAGGTAGGACTGGCTGAGGGGGGCACTGGTGGACGATGGGTGAGCCCTTTTCCCTCGAGGGAGGGGGCCCTTGGGGACACACCGGAATGGGGAATTGGGATGCACTTTTCTTCACAGTCTGCGGCTCCCTTTGTTCCACTTCCTCCCATCAAAGTGACAGGGAGTTCAGCAGGTCAGCCAAGGAGGAGGAGGAGGCAGCTTCACTGGGGCTCTCTTGAGAGTCGTGAGATGAGGGCAAATGGTGCAAGCCTATTATAGGGAGGGAGGGAGGGAGGAAGGAAGGAAGGATTTCTGATACTCCCTGCCAGCTTCCCACAAGCAAAGTCAATGGGGAAGCTAGCAGCAAGTTGGAAGTCACTCCTCCCAATGCTTTTTTGGGTACCCGTCTTTAAGTAAGGAAATATCTCTGAAACAATGACCCAGCGGGTCACAGGTCATCTAGTTATACCTAATAAGAATATTTGAGGATTTTCTGAATATTTGGATGTATTTCTTTCCAATGCTTTTGGGGGTTTTTTTTTACATAACCACCACATACGATAAAATGTTCCTTCTTTGTTATGGCATTTACAACATGTATGATTTGTCTATGTTGGTAATTATTGATAGAGTTATATACCATCTCTAAAACATTTTATCCCAATTTTTTTCTTAGATTATAACTTGGAGTAAATTTTATTGAATTTTTCCATAGCTTGTCCCTTGATGTACTATGATTATTTCTATGAAGTTTTGCATCCACTTTGTCATACAATTTTTGGTTTGTTCCATCTCCAGATCATATTTCAGTAACAATAAGTGATTCAAATTCTGTCATCTCTCTCAAAGTCCCTCCTTCTTTCTTGAGATCACTTTTTATTATTCCAGCAATTTGTAAGTACATCAGCCACAGTAAATTCCTACCTTCATTAAGCAGTTCTTGCTGGGTTTTACACTGTTTCCTGAATCTGGATATACCATATCAACATATGTAGTTAAATCTTTCTTACTATAGTTGTCCCTAGAGTAAAAAGCATTTGATGGTGAAGCTAATGATGAAGTTACCAGACTTATTCTTGTTTTTAAAAGATTCCATATTTTTGTATCAAACTTTGTCTTGTAATTCTTATATGTCTTTTCAAATTATTTTTTTCTTTTGTTTTCTTATACGATAAGCACCTATGAAGTCCATGATTGATATTTTACTATTTGGGGATTTTATCCATTCTGTTATCCTTGATAAATAGCCAGCACAATAACATAATTTAAGGTTAGGAAATGCAACTCCATTTTTTCTTTTGAATCTTGCAAAATTTTAAATTTTGCTCTTTTTCCCCACTCTGTATAAATCTGTTTACTGTTCTTTGCCAGTCCTGCAAGGTTTTGTCTAAGACTGGAATTGGTGCTATTTGAAATGAAAAGTTCAACTTGGGTAGTATCTTCATTTTTACTTGCCAAGAAAGTTTTAGGTTTTTCCATGTTTCATTTTTTTTATTCTTTTCCATAATTTATTGTAATTATTCTAAAATAAACCTTTATTAAAGTCCCAAGTATTTCACTGGATTTTTGTTATCTCACAACCAGATTCTTTTTTTCACAAAGTAGACATCTTTGGGGGTTAAATATCTTGTTATTACCTTTGTTTTATTTTCACTGAGTTTGTATCCTGAGAATTTAGCAAAGTCATTATTTTTATTAGCTGTCTGATAGCATTCTATGGTTGCATGATGGTTAGTACTACATCATCTGCAATGTTAGTGGTGTTCTGAGTTGGGAAAAGTTGATTTAAATAACTTGTCAGCCTAAAGAACTGGACTACTCAAAAACCCATTCCTGGGTAGCATATACTGATTCAGCTGTGATGTCAGTGCAGTCACACTAATTATCTTAACATTTTTCAGTTTGCTTCAAGTCTGGTTTAGACTTAGGATGAGCCAAAGTCCTCCCTGATAAATTATTTAGTGGCAGGAAGACACAATAGGGAGCGTGACTCTTTTGATATTGCTCTCTCAGCAACATCTGTTACCACTAGCCCTTGTGTTCCCCTAGACCAGGATAATATGTTAAAATCAAATATAACTTTAAATTTGGGATCAACCCACAGAATTCCTAGGAGGTGGGATATATGTGATATCTGTATACTCTGAGAATTCTGTATTTATTACTGAGCTATTGATTATTGTGCAAATAATAATAAATTAATTAAACTTGTATGTTGCCTGACTCTCAACAACTCTGGGCAACTCACAACAATTAAAGAAATTACAATTAAAACATTGAAAAAATAAAGAGAAAAAGATGGCAGGTGAGATGAAGTAAAGGATCTCACTCTCCCTCACTGAAGGCCTGGGTGAAGGGCCAGGTCTTCATGGCTCTTCTAAACAACAGAGTGGGGGCCATCTGGATCTAGGGGGGAACCTCATTCCAGAGGGCAAGCACTGCTACAGAGAAGGCATGCTTCTGGGGTCCTGAGAAATGACATTGTTTAATTGAAGGAACCCAGAGCATGCCAACCCTGCAGGATTGAATCGGCCAGGCAGATGTTATGGGAGACAAGTTGTCCCTCAAGGAACTAGGCCCTATGCCATTTAGGCCACATCTGGAAACAAATTGGCAACCAATACAGCTCGCAAAGCAGAGGTGTTATATGGGCATACCAAGACATGTCCATTACTTCTCACACCACCACATTCTGGACCAATCGAACCTTCCCGGTGGTCTTCAAGGGCAGCCCCATGTAGAGAGCATTGCAGTCAAGCCACAAGGTGACCAGAGTGTGAGTGACTGTCTGAAGGACCCCCTGATCTAGGAAAGAGTGCAACTGGTACACCAGATGGAGTTATGCAAAGGCCTTCTTAGCCACAGCTATATTCTTCAAGCAGAAGCTATAAGTTCAGAAAGACTCCCAGATTGTGTATCAGCCTTGAAGGGGAAATGCAACCTCATCCAAGGTCAAAGATGGAATATCTCCAGATCTGGGTGGTTCAAACATCCACGGCCACTTGGCAGGATTGAGTCGGAGACAGTTCCTCCCCATCCAAACCCATACAGCCTCCAGACTGTCCACAAACTCTGCAATTAAATTGGTTTCATAGTTAAAAGAAATTTTGATCTGGCATAAACAGGGCAGCTTAACATAAAAAGCTGAACAATATTTATTTAAATTGAAACTTAACTTTTCTTTATTCATCAGACTGAGTAGATGCAGAATTAAAATATGGTAGTACCTTGCTGACTATGGCTGATCTCAGAAAGCTAAGTTGGACCTGGTTGATACTTGGATGGAAATCTACTAGGGAATCTTGGATTATAGGTTGAACTTTATTATTCCCAAAAAAACCATACAGTCATCAGGAATTGACCTTGGCTCAAGGGAGATTTTGTTTTGGAATCATTGGAAGCCAGTTATATTTACTACAGGAACTTATGCTGGTCTATGACCATAATAAAGATTTGATTTGATTTACTACAGGAACTCAATTAGTAAATGACATGCTAAGTTTTCATTCAAGTCCTACATTTGGGGACTCGGCCTCAAATTTGCACTGTTGGATTTGCAGTATTTATGAAAGACAGATAGTACTGCAATTGCACCAGTTTGTGTTCTAAAATGTCTGTCTTATGAATACAGGTATGAAAACCAACGGGATAATCTTGCCCAGCAGTCTTTCAATATGGAACAAGCCAACTATACTATCCAGTCCCTAAAAGATACGAAAACAACGGTAAATTTGCATTTCATTTCAATTTTGATTTATATATTATATATGTATTAATGGGTCTAAGTATTTTATCTGGCAACTTTTCTAGGTTGATGCTATGAAGCTAGGAGTGAAGGAAATGAAAAAAGCTTACAAGCAAGTAAAAATTGATCAAATTGAGGTGAGTTTTAGTGTTGTTTTTTAAAAAAGCTATAGAATTACTTAAAACCATACAGTCCTCTTTTCTGGCCTGGAATAAATAATATATATATTTGGTTTTTTGTATAAGCCAGACTGCCTTTATTAGATTTATATCCCACCTTTTCTTCAGGAGTTCAAGGTGAAGTACATAGTACTCCCTCCTCCAGTTTTCCCACAACAACCCTGTGAAGTAGTTTGGGGTGAAAGCAAGTAATTTTCATGAGTTTCTATGGCTAAGAATGGACTTGGACCAGTTTCTGCCCAGTTTCACTCAAATAACTTTCCTACTGTATTATAGTTTAAAGCATGAAAAGAATGAGAACATAGAACAGCTGGATCAAGACTTAAAATATAAAATCAGTGGACATGAAATTTTAGTTTAATTTCACTGATTTCAACAAGTCTAGTCTATATCCTGGTTCTCATGTTCAACAAACAATGGTTAAATAATGGTATAGTACATTGCTCAAATCCAATGGTAGTATGAATAAATCTTATTTCAGTACAAATGTGAATTGTTTACCAATTGAGTGAATTAATAGAGAATGCAGAAAGATTTTGTCAATTTCAGGCAAATAAGTCTCTTCTGTCCTGACAAAAGACAGAAGACCAATTACAATTCTCCTCTACTGTGATGGATGTGTATTTTATAATCTAGGACTTGCAAGACCAGTTGGAAGATATGATGGAAGATGCTAGTGAAATTCAGGAAGCATTGGGTCGTAGTTATGGAACCCCAGAGATAGATGAAGATGACTTGGAGGCAGGTGAGTTACCAGTAAATTCTGGTATTGTTGTAGAGCCAGGACTTGATGAGTTCAGGATAGATAATTTAGTTCAGTTTATACAGTATAGCCTTGGTTATAAGCAAACAGCAGAAAGTATAAATATACTTTTATGTGGGAGTCAATAATGCAGCAGATATAAGTATTTCTGTATTCACTTCAGTTTCAATTTATTAAGGCCATTTGCCAGCAAACAAATAAAAAGAAACCAAGAAAAGACCAAAAAAAAGTATCACCATATACAGCATGCAGCCTTACGTTTCACTGAGGATCTCCTGCTGCAGTCTTGAAGCTAGGTAACCAACCTACACAATAGTATACTGTTTCATAAAAGGCTTGTCTGCAAGAAGGAAGGAAGTATTTTTGTAAAAGCCATATATAAATGCACTAAATTAGCTTTCCAGAAATGTTAAGGCTTTTAATTGCTGCATTGTTTGTATAAATCAGATATAACAAGTTCACTTGTTAAATTTCTAAATTTCAGTCAGTAATCAGACATTTCCTGTCCTCAACATAATTTTAGAACTAGAAGCACTGGGTGATGAACTTCTAGCTGACGAAGACAGTTCCTATCTTGATGAAGCTGCAACTGTTCCATCAGTTCCAGAGGGCATGCCAACTGAGGCAAAAAACAAAGTGAGTCTCTGTTCACTCCCTCACCTCCCACCACCAGACACCACATAGAAGGTGCCACACATTTAGAGAGGAATGTTCACCAATGTTAGGGTTTTTTTTAATTGCCTATCCTTTAAGCAACAAACAAACAATGGGCATATTGGAAGTAGGCATCTGTTTTCATTTTCATCTCACTGTTGATCTGTTTACTGCTGTGATAATTTGAGAAGCTGTGCATGATGGATTAAGATGTTACAAACACTTTAATGGGGTTTGTTTTCTTAAGTTCAAATCAAATATAACAATTGGTGTAACCATAGTTCATTGACTAAGGCAAAATGACCAAGTTCACATAATTCTAATATATAAACCATGATTTAAAATACAACAAATGGGTGCATGGATGTCATAGTGTAATGTACAACATCTAAGTACCTTATAATTTTTTTTTATTTTAATTTTTTAAGTTTAGATTTGTAAGGCTGCCCAACTCAAACAGTGTGACTCTGGGTGGTGTACAGCATAAAAAAACAAACAATATCCAAAACAAAAACAAACCATATACATTAAAGATATATAATATATAAATATGAAATATAAAATGGTGACCAAGCAACATAACAGAACAACCAAAAGGGGCTCTCATTCAATTGGCCTCTAATGCCTAAGGGAAGAGCCAGATCTTTATGGCTTGTCTAAAGGTGAGAAGAGTTGGGGCCTGTCAGATTGTTCCAGAGAACAAGGGCAACCACAGAAAAGGCACATGTACTAGATCCCATAAGATGACAAAAGAAGGAACCTGGAGCAGCCCTCCCTGTTGGAGGGTGTGGGATGGGCAAATGATTTTGGGAAAAGATGGTTCCTTAAGTAACCCGGCCCTATGCCATGTAGGGCTTTGAAGGAGATAACCAGCACATTGAATCACACCCAGAAACCTATTGGAAGCCAGTTCATTGCTTGAATAAGCAGCTTGCTGCTTATTTGACCAAGGTTAATAGCAATATTGCTATTGATGTGCTTCGTTTTGCGTATAGAATAAAACCCTTGCTGTTAGCTATTTTCCATCATAAAGAACGAAACTAAAATATTTTGAGAATCATAGCCACATGGAATTTGGGACCAACTGCTGCTCTGTTGTTTTTACATCCCTGGAGTGAGTGGCTAGTAGTATATTCTGAGTGCTACCTACTACCCAAATTGCAGAAAATTTGGTTGAAGGAATGATTTTGAAAACATTAAAATGACCCCCTATCAGGAATAATGAGAACAGCTCCACTCTACTATAGTACTGAAAAATATTTTTGTTTAGATTAGAGTGCTCTTTCCCCTTCTCAACAGAAAGAACATACAGACGTTTTTTCAGCTTCTTTCAGTAAACCAGATGCAGTATTTAACAGATTGTAGGACAAAGAGAACTGATCTTTTTAACATGCCTTTCAATTTGTGCATTTTACCATCTGAAGCTAAAGAAGGTAGCCAGGCACCAATTGTACTTCCTTCCATTACTATGGAACTTTTTAAAAAATCAAAACATAAAGAAATTATCTCTTTGGTCAATTTTTCTGCAGACACTGCAACTACACCTACTTAGCAAAATCAAGCAATAAATTTGACATTTTTTTTCAGTTTCCTTGTTTTGCTGTTTATTCTTGAGCATAGGTGGGCTAGTATGTCCTTCTGAACTGATTAATTAGCATTCCAACAGCAAGACGAGAACATGCACAGAACTACATATACTAGAACTCAGCAAACCAGCCCCAAGCACTGCCATCTTTGCGTTCTTTAATGGACTCTGAAACTTAGTGTCAGCACTTCTGTGTGAAGAACAGTAGTATTTACACACAGACATGCAAACAAACACATTCCTTGTATATGTGCCGTAAAAAATCTTACATTGTACATGCAGTACACTGACCCAACCACATGAAATCTTAATTTTTCCACAACAGTTTTTTAAAACTAGTAATTTACCAGGCAGGTTGATAGGTCTGCAGTTATCAGCATATGCTTATCTGCTGTGTTCATCTGAACTCCCACATCACCACTATCCATTTAAAAGAATAACAGTCCTGCTGCTGTATTGGAAGCAGTTTGTAACTTGTGATTGGGTGCTTTTTTTTAATCACAGCCCCATCACAGTTCCAAAATGGCCAGGTTTTATTTTAAGGTCAGAATATGTTTTGCTCTGCCTTCATACCAGAACTCTCAAATCATATGTATTTCACTCCAGACCTGGAACACTCACAACAACCATTTGAGGACTGAAACATGTTAAACATCCCTACAATATATACAGAATAACTCCCAGGTCATGAATTGGCTGACTTCCTTTTTCAAAGGAAAGTCAACTGAAATCTCGTATGCTACTTTGGGCTATATTATAAATATATCTATTTGTATTGTTAGCTTACCAAATATCGTGTTCCAATAACTTTGTAAAACAATAGTAATATCACAGTTAAATATTTAATTTTTATAAGCTCTTTTTGATGAAAGTGATCAATACTTATGAATAAATGACTTGACATACAGGTAATCCTTGACTTACAACCATTCGTGTAGTGACCAAAGTTACGACAGTGCTGAAAAAAGTGACTTATGACCGGTCCTTGCACTTACAACTGTTGCAATGTCCCCACGGTCATGTGATCAAAATTCGGGCACTTGGCAACTGGCATGTATTTATGACAGTTGCAGTGTCCCGGGGTCACGTAATCACCATTTGTGACTTTCCCAGCTGGCTTCTGACAAACAAAATCAGTGGGGAATTGTGTCATTCACTTAACAACTGCATGATTCAGTTAACAACCACATAATTTGTTTAACAACTGTTGCAAAAAATGTAAAATTGGATGCAGTCACGTGATGCCTCACTTAATGACTGCACTGCTTAATGATGAATTTTCAGGTCCCTATTGTGGTCGTAAGTCAAGGACTACCTGTATGTGGATACAATACTTCTCTGTTTTCTGGGGCAGATAGTTCAGGATTTAAAATAAGATTATTGTAATTTTCATTTAACTCTATTTAATGTGTTTTCATATTTTGGGGACAAAGCAACAGTTATCAATAAATTATGTATTTTCATTGTCACAGGATGGGGTACTGGTGGATGAATTTGGACTCCCACAGATTCCGGCAACATAATTATGAAGATCAAAAGGAATGCTGTTTTTCATATTATAAATTTATGAGCAAAAACAATTGAGGTGGCTGAGACCATACTTTTGCAATATTACATACCACCACTAAGTTGTGAAATAAAGAATGAATGATGAGTGCTAATTTTCTTTAAAAATATGATGGCACTAAATTTTTTTATTAATGGCAAGAAATTGACACTACTTTTGCCTTCCATGTGATCTATTCAAAGTTCTAAAATTTGGTTTTGTCATTTGTGTAAAAGTAGTATATAAAAGTATTTATAGCTTTTTGGCTATAGATCAATGTGCTTCTATTTTTTAAATTTGCCATCACATTTAACTGTAGGTGATTGCATTGTATAACCTATTTTGACATAAATTGGTTATTACAGAGGGTAGCTTGATTTGATTATGTGATATTTTTTAAGATGCTTGTCTGTTATTGTAAAGTCCAAGATGTTAAAAAGTTCATCTGAAGGGTTTCTAGTTAGTATATATGATAATAAACTTATAATTCTTTCAATTTCCATATAACTATAGGTAATATGGTTTGAGTTGAAGAATGTAGCCCTGATTAGTTGCTTATTTGACAGGAAAGCCACTTTGAGAAGAGAGGAGCATGGCAGTCAGGCAGTGCTATACTTTAACCAAGCTTTGTGCTTACCCTATTGTATAAACTGGAAACAGAGTGTTTAGGGTTTCTTGTAATGGAAACTTTTATTTAAGTTTGCCATAGTTGTACATCCAAATTTCCAGAAATGGTGGCTGATGTAAACCAAGGATCCAGAATTGATTACATTTTCCATGGACCATGAGGTTTGGATTGTTGCAGCATGCTTCTCTCCACAGGGGCAGGGACTAGATTAAGTTGATCCACCATCTGGAAGTTAATGGTCTTGCTCTGCTCCAGACAGTCTGGAGGAGGTTTTCTCAAATCTGGCCAACCATCTTAATCTTATTCTTAATTAAGCCTGGTTGAGATATAGAATAACTATTTCCTGGGCACTCAGTAATGTACTCTTAAGCATCTCTTGTCTTATGCTGGAGCCTGTAGCATTCTATTGTATGTTGATCAGTTGTGAGTGATGAAATGTGAGCACAAGTTAGCTTGCGTAACTATGGTATCAGACTGGAGGCAAATTCATCATAAGACCTAGACCACAATAGTTGGGGAAGAGAAGAAGCAATAGATTTTCTCCCTAGTTGCATCCAAAAAGAGCCATCCAAAGGAGCTTTCTGGGGCTGTCAAAGAGATGACCCATCCTTCAGTGGGTCTGTATGATATCTGGATATTGTTTGGGCTTTATTTTGAGTAGTATGGTCAAGACCACCCAGAATTTGCTAGGCTTGCTTGTTGCTACTTTGAGTGATGCCATACCAAAGTTATCTAGTGCAATACTAGTACTAATATATCTCTGAATCTGTTTGCAAATTCCTTGAGGAAGTGGATAAGGTTCTTAGATCTGTTCACATCACTGCTTTTATATTGGATCCTTGCCCAGATTGCCTTGTAAGTGCCTCTAAGTACTTTGTCCTACAGATTCTTCAAAAAGAATGCTGACCTAAAGGAGATGATGGTGTTATCAACTATCGGCCATGGTCCAGTGTTCTGTATTTAGCCAAGCTGGGGCTGCAGTTTGAGGAACTCTCAAATTGTCTTAATCCTTTCCTGTCTTGATTTAGACCTGAATTTGGCATGCAGATGGACACAATCACCCAGATGGAAATTCTGTACTGGGACACACATAAGGGAATGCTATTCTGTTGGTGGGGGAGGTGGGGGAGTTGGACTTGCATTCTGGTTGTTCCGTTCTTTCTCTGTGTTACAAGGTAGTAGCAGGAGGTTTCTGCTTGACTTCTTGGGAATTATTCTGAGGAGTCTAGCAATATTTCATGTTGCTGGACTGGTCACTGATCACAATAAAGATTCTGATTTCATCTTGCCTCCCATATTATTTAATGTCACTACGAAGCCACTGGGAAAGATCATTTGCACCTTTGGAGCTAGTCATCAATATTCTGATGACATTCAGTTTAAATCTCCTTTCCTGTGAGCTTGGGATTTGATATTTCCTGGTTATTATATAGCTTTAGGCCTGAATGTGGAAGGACTGAACATGGAAGAATAAGCTGAAACTGAAACCAGTCAAGATGTTGTTACTGATCTGAAGCCCTAGAGTTAGGTTTCTTTAGGTAGACATGTTCTGGGTACAGTTGCCAGGGGAGTTCTCCTAGATGAGACTGGATATCTACATAATGTTGGCAAAGTGAGATTTGCCGCTGACAAAGCAACCGCTAACAAAGCAAATTCATCCCTACCTAAAGGAGATGGACCTGACTTCAGTGACTTATTTGCAGGTAACCCTAAAGTTGGACAATTGCAATAGGATCTTTATGGAACAGCCTGGCAAATAGTCAAAATTTTCAACTGCCTCAGAATGGTGTGTGAAGCTTCTTTGAGATCCCACATTACCCCTATTCTGATACAGTTGCACAGCTTGTTGGTTGCTCTTTGAACCAAATTCAGCAGGTTTACAATGGTCAGCACCATTATGAGTCCTGCCACAGATGTGTTTGGCATCAACAACCATTTCTGCTTTTTCTATGACAAGATCAATAGTATGATGTATTGCCACTGAAATTAAGAAAAACCTTTTCCATACTTCAGGCTCAAAACTTCTAATTCTGTGAATGTTACTACTTCAGCTTATTTTGCATTTTATATCTGTTAAGTTTTAATGTGACTTTATGGATGTTTTTATTGTACCTTGTAATTTGTATGGGGTCATTAAGGGACTGGCAAGCATATACATTTTCTAAATAAATGAAGCAGTTTACTTGATTTTGGCCTACTGCAATGTGTGAACTAAGCTATTTATTTATTTAGTAAGTAAGTAAGTAAGTAAGCCACCCATCTCCCCCAACGGGTGACTCTGGGTGGCTGTTGTCTAAAGTCATCTGTCACCTTAGACAGACATTCTAGCCTTTTCTGATAAACAATGTTTGAGCCTCTGGATCATTTTGATTACTCACTTCTACCTTTTTTTGCACCGTTATTAATCATTTTTCAAAAGCAATGACCAGAACTGTACACAGAATTCTAAATGAAGACATTCCACAGATTTGAATAAGGGCATTACAATATTTTGACATTATCATTTTAAGTTCTTTTCTTAATGTTCCCTAGCACAACTGGCCTTTTTCACAGCTGCCACACATTGAATTCACATCTTCACTGTGTTATTCCCTTACAGCCTAATATCTTTTTTGTTTGTTTGTTAGTTACAGACAGCTCAGACCTTGTCAGTGTATATGTGAAGTTGGGGATATTTCCTCAATGTGTATCCTTTACAACTTACTTGAATTGAATTATTGGACCCTGATTGTTGCCTCCTCCTAGCATTATCGAGCAGCTTATCCAAACAACTTGTCATGTCAACAACTTTTATGTTAGGCAGTAAGTCACCATAGGATCTGCACACCACAATCACAAACCCATTTGTTTCTAAATGATTGAATTGCTCAAAACCAAAGTAAACCTTCTTTGTGAACCACACGTGTCACGAGAGTTTCTCTGTCGAACGGGGCAAATCTCACACTCAGTACAAGAGGATGGGTAAACCTTCTTTGTGAACCACACGTGTCACGAGAGTTTCTCTGTCGAACGGGGCAAATCTCACACTCAGTACAAGAGGATGGGTAAACCTTCTTTGTGAACCACACGTGTCACGAGAGTTTCTCTGTCGAACGGGGCAAATCTCACACTCAGTACAAGAGGATGTGGGCTTATTCTTTCTATTGTCACTCATTACATTGTTTGAATATTCATGAAAGATACCAGTATAAATTGCTGATATTGACACTTTAGATCCTGAGCACACCCAGCTATTTAAAAGATCTGCTGATGGCTCTTGAGCACTTGATCCAATTACCAGACCAGAGTTCATTGATTTTCCTACATACTAGAATAACTTCATCATGGTTAGGAGGCCTTTCTCACATGGCTCCAGTTTATTTATTTATTTAAAAGACTTGTACGGCCACCCATCTTATGTGTCACAAGTCTGAGTGGCTCACAAAACCATAATAATGCCAAAGGAAACAAGCCCCCAAAATAAAGCCAAATAAACAAATCCCAGTGCCCTAACCAATGCTCCCTGCGACTGTCCCTACAACCCAGCTGTGGTGAAAGGCATGATCCAAGCCCCAGCAGAGAAGCAGGGGAAGGAAGCAGAGCTGGAGCTGATGCAAGCCTGCATGAAAGCGGGCGAGAAAGGCTCCTGGCTGGTGAGCAACAAGGACTCTTTAAAGGGACAAGGGGGCTTGTGGTGGCACAATGGGAAACTCTATGTGCCAGAGGTTTCCCGTGTGGAGGTGCTAAAGAGAGGGCACACCGGAGGAATTGTGGGACATTGTGGATTTCTCAGGACCCTCCACCTCCTGCATAGGCAGTTCTGGTGGCCGTCCCTCTGGAGGGATACAAGGGAACACGTGGCCAGCTGCTCAACATGTGCAACGATGAGGGGAGAGAAGGAGAATCTTCAGGGACCCTTCCGGCCAGTAATTGACCCGGCCATGGTAAGGCTAGAGCCCCAAAGCACTAGGAAAGGCCACACAGTTATGGCAGATGGGGGGGCAGTACCCCGGTAAGCCCAATTAGAGAGAGGGGGTCTCTCTTCAGGGAGGCGGTATGTCAGATTCACCGCTCAGCTTCGCCTAGTCAATTTCACCACCCAGGCACAAGCAGAGAAAAAGGGGAAGTGAAACCACGAGCTGATTAAGGACAGGTGGCGGTGCTTAACCAAAACCGCAAGCGGATACTTTGTATCAGCGCGGCTTCCCTGAGCGCGCTGCAAAGGAAATCGCAGAGGCTTGGAAGCGAAGCAATCAATGAGCAATCTTCAAGAACTCCCGGCTTTGCGCACAAACAGGCAAACCCAACAAAGGCAACAACAGCACAACT